ATTAATCATCCGAGTTCATGAAAGCGAGATCTGCAGCAAAGAGAAAAAGCCGTCTCCAAGACATCTGGACGCCCCCCCCTCCCCACCCACTCCACAATACCCTGTTTTCAGCACCAATTATACATAGACTGTCTCATTTCCAGAGTCCAGAACTGACGGTCAAAATCTGGTATTTGTATTTATTTCCTTTCATGCAGAGAACCTGATTAAAACCATTGGTTTGAATGAACAGTAATAAAAAGAACTGAGTGAAACCATTTCTGGCAATCAAGTTAACATTCGTAGCTGCTACATCAGTCTTTGAAGCTGAAAGGACATAAATATTTTTTGCGCTTTTTATTATGTTCATTTAATTTGCATTAGTACTTGAATTACACGTAAGCTTACACAAAAGGAGAACTAATGACAGAAGTCCAGAAACAGACACACCCTTCCTCGTCTTAATATATGTATCTACACATTAATTGGGCCACAGAGGGAAGCACTGGGAAAGTCCGATGCGTTTATTTTCAACTGAAATAGATAATAAGAAATATTAAACGAACAATTATTTTAGGAACTTTAATTTTGTTTTAACAAACACACATTTTAATATGTTCCTTATGCAGAATACATATATCTAAACTAATATCTCTGTGTCAGTTATTAAACTTATCACACACGTATGAGTTGCAGAAGATACAGGTATATCTAATAATGTAAACGGAGGTGTAGATTGCCAATTAAAATGAAGCTGATGTCGGGAACTCATTCAAAAAACAGAACATAGCACTCAAACTTGCACAAAAGTTTGCGAGCATCACGGAAGGATTTATTGGGGAGAGGAGGGGGCCATCCCTGCAAACTGAAGCACGCGAGCTACAGTGAGATAATGCTCGCCTGCCACGCGGGCACCCGATACAAAATCTGTTAAACCGACATCAGTTTGGAAAAAAATGTGCGTGAACCCCGTCTCGAGAAACGCATTCTTTGCATTTAGGAGTTTCCTGGGTAGAATATTTTATGATACGGCAACTTTGTAATTTTTCTTAAATGAATTACTGGGTGACTGGCTTTCTCAATGATGCGCTTTTATAACTTTTATTTAATAACTACAGGAAACTTTTGTTGTTTGTTCTTAAAACGCTTATAAAAGACCCACCTTCGGTTTCTGAAAAATATATCGTACCAATATTCCCCTCTTAAAATTAGAATTTTGACTAGCTAAATTAAAGTTCTAAACCGTAGAAACATGCACTGTTTGCTCTCCAAAATTTTCGGGGTCCTTCAGCAGGGCCTGACCCCACACCAAGGGGGCCATGGTTGACTTAGCATCAGAGGCCTGTCGTTCTCCCCCCCCCCCCCCTTCAAATAATCCTCGATACATATGCTACCGATAGGCCTACATACGTTACCAAATTCCATTAGATTGTTGTTGTTGTTTACGTTGTTTGTTGTCCGTGCAACTATGTGTGTGCGTGAGACGTCATACATGCACGCATGTTTGTTTTTACTTTTTTTTTTAGATTGTCACAAAGAGTTTAATATTCGTCGATACATACATTACCATTGTTTTAAATAACTGTTGGCTGCTTTCAACTTCTGGTGAGTGAACACCTATTTTTCTTACTGTATATTAGGTTACAATTAAATAGATGGAAGTCTTCAAACTATTTGTAAAAAATATCCACGTGATACATGAAATTAGAATATCGACTGGCTGAATCATGGTTCTAAACCGTATCAAATGACACCGTTCGCCTTCTAAAATGCCAAAAATTTTCGGGCCCCCTCAGTGGGTCCCGAACCCCACGCCAAGATTTTTTTTTGGGGGGGGGGGGGGGATTCCCCCCCGGGAAAACCCCCCCCCCCCCCCCCCCCCCCCCC